ATAATCTTACACGAAGATCTTCTTCTTCTTCCAATCAATGCATCAAAACTTGAATTTCTTGATATTTTTCTCCCTGAAATTGCGTTCTTCAATCTCTCGTTGTATTCCCTTTTTCTCAACGTGTGGAACCCCTTCAAAAAATGCCAATAAATTCTCTTTATACTCCTCCCTATATTTGTATGCATGTAGGGTTTCTTATGGGCTCAAAATTGGGCCCAAAAAAAAATGACGCTCCTCCGTCCTCAGGTGGTGCTACGACGTCTAATGTGTTGCGCTGCGGCGCCGCAGTGCTGTGTAACAATAGAAGGTTGCGCCGCAGCGCCTAACGTGTGGCACTGAGGAGCTATACTTCTGTCGTTTGTTGTGTTTTTGTCGCGGCGCCACACATCTGTCATTCTACGTTTGTGGCGTTTAGGCGCCTCAGTTGTGGCGTCGGGATGCCACTCTTACTTCCTTTGATGACGTGATTTTACTCCTTTGCCCATTTCATTCCTCTTTTTTCTTCGATCCATGTCATAGCCTTGTTTTCTCATTTTTCTCCATGATTTGCATCATTTCACTATTCCTACAAAACAACACTAACGAACATGTTGAAAACGATCAAAACCATATGATCTAGCTCATAATCAAGATAAAAATGGAATAAAACTCGTGAGTAAAACACACTCGTCAGGTACTTCGTTAATTTACATTTATCTTCAAATTTACACCGCATAAGTGTCAACTAATCCGAGACAACTGTGGAAGTTTGATCACTATTTAGATTAAATTTGATTATTTATTCGCATGAATTTGTTGGCTCTTATTCTTAATTGTTTCTTCTTTTGAACAAGAAATGTAAAATATTGGAATTTGTTTTTAATCATTGAGGTTTTTTGGATTGGTTAATGAATGACGATGATATTTATGGAGATTAATCATATAGATGGTTAGGGAGAGGAAATAAATAGAGAGCCCTATTTCCCTATTAATTTTAGGGAAAATTGTTATCCTCATTCTCTTTATCCTATGAGGCAAAAGGCTTACATATTTTTGATGGAGATGGGGATTACTATAACAACGATTGGTACCTTGTGAAGGTAGAGGGAAAGAGTTTTGTTGGTACCATGTCGAGCTCTCGAAAGGAAATCAGAAGCTGTCAGTCACAATCCGCGCGATACCTTATTGACATTCTATGCCCGTCGTTGAAGCTTTAGGACATTCTTTCACTTTTTAATAATGGACCCTTTTGTGGGAACGCCGATGGTGCTCCTGTTCAAAGAGAAGAAAAGGGAAATTAAAAAAAAAAAAACAGAAACGACGAAATTTCTTATTGAAACTTGGAGGATCCGACACATATTCCATACCCGTTTCCTATCGTGTCGTGTCGACAAAGGTATTTCTTCAATTTCAAAAGTCTGAACATTATATTAGAAAAACACAGACTACCTCAATAGACTGATCCAAGTAGGAAACAAAATATACTGACATCCTACATTAATAAATACTAGAGCTACGATGAAAATTGCATCCTTAATTTGCGCCTTCATTGTCAATTTTGTAGTGAATATAAACATGGAGATGGTCTGATGATGGAAAATACAGATGAACATCATGAATATTAGCTGTATGTTTGTTAATATATTTAGTTATTTACTCTCACATCAACATTTTGCTCTTTCTTATAGGGTAGGGTGAGTACCTCATAGCCTTGATCGAAAGTTCAACTGCTGTTGTGCAATTGGAGAGTTATTTAATAATGTGTGCCAATATCTGCAAGATAGGATTTCTTAGTATCGATTGTTGAATTGATTGAGACAAAAAAATTCCCTAGGTCCAAATATTTGTACTTCTGTTGTTTGTGTGTTGGGGGTTTCCAAAAAATGGTTTCCACAATTCCATTTAATTTTGGTTTATGCCTAGAAGCTCTAGAATTCAACTAGAATAAATGATCAAGTCACTTACATGAAAATGCCACCTGTCTTGATGAAATTGATGACTTCTCACTCTCAAGTAAAACTCAAGTTTACCAAATATTTTCTCCCCCTCTCTTTTGTTCATTTTGATTTCACTTTATCATGCTATCATATTATGATTTGTCATGATAGAACCGTGACAAATATGTGCAATAACTCATTCATTCATATTGAATATGGAGTTAACGTTGCTAATATTACAAATGATTTTGCCACTAGTGACCTTGTTTGAGTATTAGTTCCAACTACTATGCAAATCATGCATACAAAATTGTTATTGATTCTTACCGGAGTACTAACTCTTCTTAGGAGATTATCGAATTGTAATTAGATTATAACATCATTATAAAAAAGATTACAACATAACTATGATATAATAAATCTTACAATTATTTGCTTGCTTGAAAACACATGAAAAATTCTGAAAATACCATAGGACATGTAAACTGAACATTATGAAATTTTACAAAAGTATAAAATTCCTCTTGCTCACTTCATGTTGCGTCTTGAATAGTATGTCTTTCATTTTATAAACGTTATCAGATGTGTTTTTCCTTCTTAGTTTGACGTCTTTAGGCCCTGTTTGGTCCATATTATTTTTTTTTATTTTTATTTTCAACCACACATTATTCAATAAAATAATATTTTTTATCACATTAATAACTTTTTCTTCTTTTTCAATCACATATTTCCCATTACATCAATAGCAAAAATGCATTCTTACCTTCAAAATGTACACCAAATGGGGGCTTAATTGAATTAAGGAACATGTAGAACATATGCCTTAATATGACAAATTATTTTGTTGATACCATTTGTTACCTTTAGTAGTGTTTCTGCAAGATTCTTGAGAAATATTCACTTGTGTCAGCAATGTTAGATTTTAAGTGTGGTCGAGATTTCATGCTTTTAGAATATGTTTGCAGATGTTGATTGAGCATAATCATTCTTCTAAAGATAGATGCGATTTTATCAATTAATCATGTGCTCCAAGATAGAAGAAGTCTCGTGGTTTCATCAATTTTGCATAACATGGAAACAAATATAGAAATATATGTAGTAAAACATGGGAACTATGTTGGATCACACCATTATGTTCCTATAGAATATTAAGTAATGCATTTTAACTTTCACACCACTTCAAAAATTAAAAATTGCATACAAGTAAACACAAATTTATAAAAGGAAATAAATAAATAAATATTACCTTTTTTATCTATTGCTTATAAATAAAAATACTTTATCCGTAGGTTACATATAGTTATAAAAGTAGTTTGTTATAAAAGCATGGATGGTGCGTGATCTAATCAAAGTATATATGTTAGAAATGGCAGTAAAAACAAGATGCAAACAAATTTCGTTACAATATGCTCGTGATAAGATTATTTATAATAGTTTTGTGTTAATTGTACTCAGGGTCTACTAATATAAGAAAAATACAGATTTTTTTAGATTAGCTTTTTGATAAGAAAGGCAATCACTTCACTGAAAAATATTCTACTAACGTCAACAATCTCTTTCTTCACATATGATACCATCTACTTTTATATCCAATAGTATAGATATGAAACGATACATACATATTCCCATGGTAAGAATAGGACAAATTGCACTAAGGAAGAGATTAAATTCAATAAAAGGTTATAGGGTAGGGTTCCAAGCCTATCTTAGTTTCAAATATGGATTTTCCGTTACAAGTGACGCCTCAATTTCTTAAAGTGTTCCTTTGGTCGTGAGTATTACAAAATTATAGATTAACTTTGACAACATAATAAAAAAGTTCTATATTATCAAATCTTGTACAGTCAAAAGTCTCAAACT